TTAATAATATAAAAAACGTGTGCTATCAAAGGAAGCATTACAAGGATTATTTGATCAAAATCTTCATACATATTATTATGCAAGGGGAATATTAAAGGAGCTGAATAGAACTTACCTTTTTTCAGAAGATTATTGCCGGCGCTCAAAATCATTTGAATACGACCAGCATTAGCAGCCAACTCAGCCTGGAAAGCAAGGTGTTTTTGATGTTTAGTCTGAATATTAGTCGTGGGATCTTTGAAGGATTCATCCGTAGCACGTTGAAGCTTTTCGTTAATCCAGATCTCCATCTCATCAGCATCCTTAATAAATGCCTGAAGAGTCTGAGCATCGCCAAGTTTGCTGCGATTCTCAATCATGTCTTTCTTGAGCTGGGCCCAACGCCGCATGACATCATCACATTTATTATGAATGCCTTGAGTATCGTAATGACCCTGCTCAATTAATTGATCTGAAGCTTGCTTCAAAGTCTGAATTTTTGCTTCTTGCATTTTTATAGCCCGATTAAAATCCTCATGCTTTTTTATTAATGCGTCAACTTTGTTTCCATCGACATCATCGCCAGATAAAGAAGCTTCTCGGATGCTCATCCAATCTTCAGCCTGTTCACAATCACGCAAGAAGAGTTGGAGTTTGAGACATTGATCTAGCTCCTGACGACGCTTCATCCATTGCCTAAATTAAATAGAGTAAAATATTACAAATATCAACAAAAAAGCATAGAGTTTAAGGCGCATAACATACTCATCAAGATCTTGACAAGACATGGAGACATTCGAGAGTTTTTGTTTTACATCACTACTAGCATAGTGATTATTGTTCACAAGTTCTCGACCGAAAGCTTCAAATTTTTGGAAAGTTGGAGCTCTCGCATCAATTTCAGTGCGATGCTCACGGTGACGCTCAAGCAGAGCCTCGGCGCCAGTCACATCCTTTGCCAATTCATCAGATGAGACAAGGGCGTACATCGTGTTAATCCAGGACTGAAGATCCCGATAATCGACTAGGAACTTTTGCAAATCTAAAGAGTCAAGAAGTTTAGCCCTGCGAGAATCCGCCTTAGCGGTGAGACTATTCCACATTTCGTTTATCTCTTCTTGATGCTTGCAGATACCCTCGGCCTCCTGTGGGTGAGTTTCTACTAGATCTGCCGCCTTCTGATCCAGCTGCTTGACTCGTTCGCCAAGTGCCATCAAGTCTCTCTCCATAGCATCGTGTTTGCGAATGAGGCGATGAACTGAAGTCAGATCTTTGCCCATATCGTCAGTGGTAAGACGATTCTCCTTCTCCTCAATCCATTCTTTAGCCTCATCACATTCGCGATGATAGCGCTGCACAGCATTGTGATCTTCCAATTCTTTGACCTTTTTCGTCGTGACCTCCTCAAGTTGTTCGTAACGCTTCTGTAGTTGCATGATGATACCCTCGATCTTCTCTACAGCCTCTGTTTGTCCGCCTCGCTTCAATTTATCAGCCTTGGCTCGCAGTTCAGTAATCCTTACCTCTCTCTCCTTCTGCTCCGCCACGAAGTCGTCAACTCTCTTCCGTTCTGATTCTACCTCTTCAAGACGGCCAGGGACAACTGTCTCAGTCACTGCAACCAATTCTTTCTCAACAACCCATTGGTGCAAATCATTTGCTTCTCTAACAAGTTGATAGGCACGCACTGAGTCCTGTAATCTATCCCTACGATCATTACCTAGTTGAATAAGTGCTTGATACTGCGACTCGAGGCGCTGCTGCTGAGAGGTTACGGTTAGAGGAGCTTCCATTAGGTTGGCCTGACTGTCCGAAAGTGGAGCGTCAACTTTTTTGACATAAGCAGCCGGAACAAAACCCTGACGATCGTTGACCTCCACCTTCCACCAGTCCTTATGGTTACTGTTCAAAAGAGTGAGCATTTCACCCTTGCGCATGGAGACCTCCCTAGGCGACTTCTCCTGATAATCGTAGAGAGCAATCACTACTTCTTTTCCTAGCACATCACTGGTTGGAGCTTCTTGCATGCGACACTTGCTCGCCTGGCTGTGCAAGCCCTCAATAGTGGAACCATATGCCTCGATATCAGCCATTAGTGCTTCATGCTTCTTAAGAAGTGCTTCAGTGGAGTCTTCATCGCGACCAAATTCAGAAGAACCTACAAGAGGCTCTTTTTCGCGCATCCAACTATCAGCTTCGCTGGCATCTGCAAAATATTGTTGAGCCTGTAAAGAATCATCCAAAAGTTGGCGTCGATTGTCAGCCTTCTGTTCAAGCTTCTTCCAAGTGGCAAACAGCTCATCGATGCGCTTGCGAATGTCAACAGAAGCAAAATGAGCCTTGACGATCATAGCCTCGCCTTCTTGGCAAACATCTTGAATTCGTGGTTCATGACCACATATTTCGGCAGCAATTGCTTGATGTTTTTTAATTAGATTTTGAACGCCAATCAAATCTCGACCTAAAATGAGATTAATTCATTTTAATATGGATATTTATAAGATATATAAAACTAAAATAATTAATCAATCCTTAGAATGAGGTATGGAGAAAATCAAATGCCAGCTAGTCGCTTAATTTTCGTCCAGACACTCGCGTATAAATATGACAAATATAAGGATTTTTGAAAGGCATTTATTCGAATAATAATATTTAATGATGCTATTAACGAAGATAGCATAGATAAATAAATTGATTGAATAAAGATGAAAAACAAGTGGAAGAGTGGAATGATCTCACACAAAGGATACCACAATTATAAGAAATGTATTTAACTAGTCGATAAAATTTAGGACACGTCAAAATGCCTTGAAACTAGCAAGAAGGCCGTGAAGTGCGTCCAGATATTTTGGAGCCATAAAATCATGTGAAGCCTGGCAACACATGAGGAACTGACTTCAATCAAAAAAAAAACTTACCGACATTAGTGGAGCCGGCAACTGGCTCCTTTTCACGGATCCAATCTTCTTCGTCTTCAACATCTCGGAAAAATTGCTGCAGCTTGTAGGCATCATTGAGCCGTTCACGACGCTGTTTAGTTGGACCAGCCAAAGCTTCATACCGAGAAAGAACTTGTTGTTGTTTTTGTTGTATAATTGGAGCATCAAAGTGCTCTTCGGCAGCAAATTTATCAGCTTGTACTTTAAACTGTTCAATCCTATCTCGGTGAGACTGAATATCCGACTCAAGTAAAGCGTGTTTTTTTTGCAAATTAATCACTGAACTAAGATCTCTGCCATAGTCATCAGAATTGAGCTGTATTTCAACTTCACCGAGCCATAATTCAACATCTTCAGTATTTCTAATAAATTGTTGCTGTCCACGGGCCTGTTCAAGTTTCTTGCCTTTTCGAGCAGCAGCATCAATCAAGCGAGACCAAAGCTCATCGAGCTCTTCTAATCGGAAGCCTATCTCTGGAGACTGGTAGTGTGCGGCGGATAGCAAGTCACAACCGATCTTCTTAACGTCTATCCTCGATTCATTTGCTTGGATCTCTGCTTCAAAGTTTTGATGCTTTTGTACTTTTGTTTGCAAGTTTGTAGGATCCTTGTAACTTTCATCTGTGGCCGTTTTAAGCTTTTCCAAAATCCATGCTTTCATTTCATCGGCGTCTCGGTCGAAAAGTTGATAACGATAAGAATCTTCCAAAAGCTTTCGCCGAGCAATAGCCTTCTCCTTTAGAGCAGCGCGACGATCGAGAAGGGCAGCGCGGCGCTCAGCGACTAGATCAGAGGCGTAGTGATTATTTTCTATTAATTTCGCTGCAAAATGATCAAGATTTTTTACTTTTTCTTCTTGAGCAGACAAAGACTTCTCAAAATCCTCATGCTTGCGCATTAAAGCCTCAGATGAATCAAGAGAATCACCTACGTCCTTATTTTCAAGAAAGGCTTCTTGCTTAGCGATCCAGGCTTCTGCCTGTTCAGTGTCGCGGAAAAAGAGCTGGAGGTCCATGCATTGTTCATATTGGACACGTCTTGTATCCCATAGCGCAAGAAGAGCAGACTTCTCTTTTTCCAACTCAGCCATCTTTGTAGCGACCTCAGCTGATGCAGGATGATGTCCATCAATTAGCCTTCGACCTTGCTCCATAACGATACGATCACTGTCTTCCCTAGATTCAATTTCCCCCTTGTATTCATTGTGGCGTTCTACTTGAGCTTCTGCACCAGCGACATCCTTGGCTAGTTCATCGGCAGCTATTATTGTACTCATGTCTTTGATCCAAAGTGAAAGATCTCTCCAATCAGACAAGAAGCGATGCAATTGAAGGGATTCATCAAGTTTTGCTCTGCGCTCGGCAGACTTAGTCTTTAGCTTGTCCCAAGCATCAGCCAAATTTTGACGCTTTGTTTGTATAGTATCACTTGAATCGGGATGCTTTTGAGACAAGGAGACAGCATCATTATTCAAATGCCCCACTTTTTCTTCAATAGCAGCTAAGTCACGCTCAAGGGCTTCATGCTTGCGCTGCAGGGCTTGAACTGAGACCAAGTCCCGACCGCAATCGTCAATAGAAAGTGGAATAGATTTTTCGTTGACCCAAGAAATAGCCTTGTCGGTGTCTCGGAAGAAACGCTGAATCTCATGGGCCTCATAGAGCTTTTGCTGTCTCTGTCTGGCTAGTTCTTTCAGACGCTCTAGTGCCTCGCGCACCAGGCGTTTTTTTTCTATGACAATGGTTTCTTCAGGGAATTCTTCCCGCAGAAGTTCATCGGCCTTTGCATAGATCTCCTCAGCGCGTCCCTCTTGATATTCAAGATCCTGGATTGTAAAAAAAAGCAGTTAGCAAATTTAATAGCGTGCCGATATTTTAGATAAAAAGGAGGCTGAACAACTTACTTTTATGAATTCCTCGTATTTTTTCTGAAGAGCCTCGACATGTTCCAGGTCTTGTCCAAACTCTTTCGAAGTGACAAATGTTTCTTTTTCCTTGATCCAAAACAATA